GGACGCCTTAGACCACTCGGCCATTCGTGCCTTTCAATTATAAATGAATTAATGCATTGAAATTATAATTGACAACAGCTTTTCTCTTGTTAAACAGTATACCATCAAAATACAAGCAACCACATAAAAACATTTCTTATGGCGTAATAAAAATTATAAAAAAGTCTTTAAATTAATTATGTCACAAAAGGTTTTTATTTGTAAATCTTTGAGTTAAATTAAAAGAAATAGGCAATTAAAATTAAAAATTAATGAAAGATTATAAAGAATGTGAAGAATTAAAAAATATTTACTGTTAATTGTGTTTACAATTTGATTTTGTTCATGTTGAGAAATTAACTTTTTTTCATTGTCTTAGATAATTTTTCTTTTCGTCTAAGACACAAAGGAGATATTGTGAGTTTAAAAAACAGTAAAATATTATTTTTTTGAATGAAGAAATTTAATGACGATAAAATTAATAAACAAATTTTTCTATTTATACTTTATAAGGTATATATTTCAGTATTTAATACAACCTGAAAAGTATAATTTTGAAAAAAAAAACATCATGAATAACAAAAAAAAAAAAATGAAGACATTTCTTATAGAATTATTTAAAAAGAAATACATACAACTGAGAAATGAAGAAAATAAATTCAGCTTTTTTATATTTTTATAATTATAAAATTATTTATTTTTTTTTCTTTTTTAACAACTAAAAATTAATCTTTTTCTTTTCAATTAGAAAAAGAGAACTGATTATTTTGGTATTAATGGAAAAGCAAATTGAATCTCAATCTAATGAATTTGATTTATATCATTTTTTATTTGAGATTTCTATGGATTCATTAGAACCGAAAGAGGTCAGTCAGTTATATAATTTTTCTGAAGAATTATTCATCAAATATTTACCGTTAATTTTATCGTACACTTCAAGCCAAGATAGAGGAAAATACAAATTTGAATTATTTAAGACATTAGTTAAAATAGGGTCTATGTCAATGAAAGTATTACTTAGAATAATGATTTTGCACCATAATAAAAACTATTGTTTTTGTAAGAGTCATGACTTTCTACAATATATAACATATGAAAGTTCTCAAGAAGAAAAAGAAGAAGCGTTTTCAAAAGAATTTGAATGTAATTTAGTGAATATGATCATATGGAATAAGAACAATTATAAAGAAATGAAAGTGATTGAAGAAGAATTAAATTATCAATTAGAATGGATTGATAAAATGTATTATAACAAACAATGTGAAGGTTCGACACTTTTAGTAACAAATAAGTTGGAGGAAATACGAAATATAACAAATGAAATAGAAATTAAAGAAAAAGAAATAGTTCAATATAAATGGAGTCTTTTAATAAATCCATATTTTGGAGAAGGTGAATTAAAAGGAATAAGAGTAATGAAAAAGTATTCAACAACTTGTGCACCAGTTGAATTTGGATTAATAATAAAATTAAATAATAAAATTAAAATTAAAAGAGTTTTGTATAAAAAAGGAGATGATTTAAGAGTTGATTTATCAGCAGAATTATCATTTCATGTTTTTAATTGTATTTGGAATAAATTTATATTTAAAGCATCTCCTCATATTGTTAATAATGAAGTCATCAAACCATTTGCTGAAACATATGACGTTATTCCATTTAATGAAGGTGGTTTAATTGAAATGGTTGGTTGTTCTAATGAAAGTCCGTTATGTTTAACTCATACCCAGTTAAGTTGTTGTATTGATGGGAGAACATTTGAACTATATAGTTCAATTCCTTGTAATAAATGTCATCAAATATTAGAAGTATCATCATGGGATTTAAATGATAAAATGAAATTAATCGCTTCACTTTCAGGTGGATTTGTTGCTGGATTTGTTGTTGGACTAAGAGATCGTCATTTAGAAAATATGAAATTTCATTTATGTACTCATAGGTTTGTTCATATTGACTTTGGGTATATTCTCAATAAAAAGCCATATTTTGATGCAAACAGATTTGCTATTCCAACAGTTATTAGAAACGAATTACAAAAGACTAAAGTAATAATTGATAATGAAATAATGAATGGATGGGATGCTTTTATTAGTCTTTCAACAATTGGTTATCTTATGTTAAGAAGAAACGTTGGATTTTTAACGAGAATTATTTCATTATTATTTTCATTTGATGAAAGTTTTACTGATGAAGCAATTACTCAATGTCTTTCTCATTCATTTTATTTAACATTAAGTGAAGCAACTGCAGTTAATACATTAATTGGACATTTACAAGTATTTTCAATTCAAAAGATGATTAAAGACTCACAACATGAAATTTTACGATGGTGTCGTGGGTTAAATTAATTTATTAGATTTTCATTCAATTAATGTTAATTCCTTGTGACTTTAATTGTTGTTTCACAATACTAACAATTTGGTCAGCTTCTGTTTGAGTTTCAACAACAGGCTTTTCAAGAACTAAATTAATGAGACTAAAATTATTAATAAATGTTATTAAATACCAAACTTTTTCCTTTTGTTGATTCAACTAATACCAATGATTGAGGAGTAAAATCAAGTGATTTTAGTGTTAACATGTCATATTTTAATTCTTTATAATAACTATTTCCCTGGACATACTATATATTTATGACTATGTCTTTTCATTTCTTTTGAAATAAGATAAAAATAACAAACTTTCTTTTCTGATAATTTTATTTCTTCTGGATTAGCAAAATATAATGCTGCCATATGTTGACGAAGTTCACCAACAGTCATATTTTCATCTACCTCTGTTTCTTCTAATCTATTTAGTTAATATATTAACTTATTTAAATAAAGTAATTCAAACTCAATAGAATATTTATTATTAACGTAATGAATTTTCATATTTGATTATTTTTTTACAGATTTATTCTGAAATTTTTTTTCTTAAAAAAAAAAGAAACTATATTAATCATTTATACACCATTTACACTGGAACTTGTTCTTCAATGCTTTTGATTTGGTTTAGTCTATTAACAGCACTCTTGCTAAGGTATGGAATTATTGAATTAGTATTTTCTAATACCATTTTCTTTATTTCTGAAAAATTGACAGGAATAGACACAAACGAAGTATCTGAGCTTTTCATTCCGTTCGTAGTAAATAAATTTATTAACCAATTAGAAATTAATAAACTTCTTGTTTGAGCAAATCGTTTAAATTCTTTCTTCCATAAACAGTCAACATCATACTGACCATCAAGAACCCATTTAAAGATTAATGAAATAGACTGCAAAGTCATACAAACAAGTTCTTTATTTTCTTTAGGGATTGTTGTAACAAGAACTGAACAGAGAAATCGTTTAAGTAATAAATCAGTCAATACATTAGTAGTTTCTCCTGGGAAATATTCAGTAAGTTCAGTCGCTATTTCTGAAATAAATGAAATAAAACTACTAAAAGATAAGAACAGCACATTGGTATGATATAAAATTAATTAACAAACGATGGGAAATCAATCAAAAGGAGTTTTTTAATAAAATACTTCATTAATTCTTTTAATTTTTTAAGTTCTTTAGTAGTAACCTTTTGAGAAATGTCCATCAAGTTAATATATATTTTATTCTTATTAATTAAAATAATAATTGACTCAGTAAGACTAACTAATAATTGTTTGATGTCATATTCCATATATATTCTAATAATTGTATTATAGACTGACTCCCTTTTAAACATTAATTTTACTGATTGTGTCTCTTTCATTTCTTTTTTAATAACCCATTCTAATAAATCTATCATTCTATTACTTCCAGAAAAGAATTTAAAAAACATTTTTAACTTATTTTCTGTTTCTTGTTCACTTTTTCCTTTTTCACAAAAAAACTTCAAAACACCAGTAAGAATATCGACATCAGTAGAAAATAATGCCTTAACTGATGAATATTTTTATGTTTTTTTTTAATCATAGAAATGGTATTTCAAACTTCTTCAAATGTAATATATTCATAAGACATCTAACCTTTAAATATAAGTTATTGTTTATTTTAAGATCATTCGGTTTTTTTTTCATTCAAAATTATCTTTTTTGGATTATCCTCAACAAAATAATCTTAATTTTTCAACTAAAAAAAGAATATAATGAAATTGTAAATAGCAAAAAAAAAAGTTATTAAATTAAAAAAAAATAATTTAAAGGTATAATCTACAATAAAAAAATGAAAAACAAAAATTAAAATAAAAAGCAATTAATTAAGT